CAAGATTGTATAACAGATAGAAATTCGGAAAGAATTGGATTTTTTTGATTTTTAAAAGTTGCTCAAAATTGGGCTTAAGTCCCTTGTACTATTGTTGTACACGGTCAATGGTCAAATTTCATCAAATATAAGCATGGAGAGAATTCTCTATTTTTATTTCATCTTTTGATGTGGATACATATCTTATGTCGTGTATAAATTTTGAATGGCAGATTCTGCCAAAATTTGATTTTTTATAAATTTTTAAAAGTTGCCCGAAAATTGAGTCAAAACCCCTGTAATATAGTATACGATTATTAATCAAATTTTATCAAAAATTACAAGGAGAGAATTAGGATTTTTGTGAATATTTAAAGTTGACCATCTACATGTATGTAAGTAACCTCCACATTTTGTGTGCATGTGTGATTTAATACATTAGTATTGATGGTCAATGATGTCAAATGACTCGTATTCTGACATCATCTCATTTATTATGTAAATAAGGTAATGTGAAGACATTTGACTCTAGCCAGCTCATTCCATGTACACATGTACATAAATTAATAAGAAGGAATTATAACATCATGCAATATGTATTCAATAATTACTGCCATTACATAAACAATACAGGTATAGCGTATACCTCCATTTAACAGACAGCACCTAGTGCACCAATTACATTCTTTACTGTATAAAATAGCCTCCACATAAAAGACACCTCTGTTTATAACAGACAAACATTCTTGTCCCAAAGTGTCCAACATATAGAGGCTATACCATTACCATACACTGTACATGTATTTTCTCATGTTTTTATCAGTTCCTTTATAATTATTGTAGGCTAGTGGTTTTTGAGGGATTGGCCCTGTACTATTCACATATCCTTTGTTGATAGTTTTCACTTCAGTTTGTGGTTGTTGAAGTATCTTGTGTACAGCATGTGTGTATGTGTAAATTGATAAGAGATAGAGAAGAGGAAGAGCTATGTATACAAAGCATGTAAAGCACACAGGAATACATTTAGTAGTAGAATAGTAGTAGTATCACTCACTCTATGTATTCCTGTGTTTATTGAACTGTGATAGAGAAGGGAGAGATATTAAATTATTAAGGAAGGTGGGAAGAGGCTGAAGTATTCTTTTACATATTTCCAGGAACGAGCGATTACTACTAATTCATTATTATAATAACAAAGCTAATAGCTACTACACTATAGCTATGCTGTAGGAGTCGGTGCAGAACATATGCATGTATTAGAACAGGAATAGTGAATTATTTACATATAAAATTTAAAATGCATGAAATTAATTTTAGTTTATTTGTTTACTGTTTGACACGTGACATTCATACTGTTGTCTGTATTGTCTGATTTATTTAATCTGATACATCTCATTGTTACACAGTCTGCTGTACTTGATACTAAATGCCAATATTTTGCTGAATTCTTTTGTCAATAACAGTCTGCACTGATTCACATTTCACATTCTATTCTTAATAATTATTATTTTATTGAAAACATTACATCACATTAATGTATCAGTGTACAGATATATGACATTAACTTGATTACAGCCTCTCTCTCTCTCCCTCCCTCTCTGTCTCTCTCCCTCCCTCTCTCTCTCCCTCTCTCTCTCTCCCTCCCTCTCTCTCTTCTCCCTCCCTCACTCGGTAGGGTAGTTTGCTGCCATAAATAAGGGTATATGCGATTATGTGTGACATTACATCTCACTCTCCCTCACTATCCTTCACCACTCTCCCTCCCTTCCTCCCTCCCCCTCTCTCTCTCTCTTCTACTTCTCTCTATCTCTTTAAAAAGAGAGAGAGGGAAAAAGAGTATAGAAAGAGGAGATAGAGAAGTGCGAGTGTGATAGAGGCTTGAGAAAGAGGGGGTAGACCCAAGGAAAAGAGAGATAATTCACTCTTTTATCTCATGAAAATGTGAATTATTTACTATGGCTTGTCGCTCCCTGGTCAGGGCATGCCTGACTGGATTGCCTCTATGTCTTTGACTGTTTCTATTTGTTCTGGTCGATTTGGCAGCTGCTTGGTAACAGAGAGCATGTAACCAAGTTACTGATAGACTTTAAAAGGAACACGAGATGACTGAAACCTTTTAACAGTCACACATCAATCACTCACTAATACTATGGAATAGATGTACATTATATTATGAATGCTATGTATGTACATTAACACTAATAGATATTAACAAGTATCTATACTCTTGATATTAATAATAGATAATAATAATTATGATAATAAGTTTTTAAGCTGATGACGTATAATGCTACAGCTCCACGGCCACCAAAGTGCATCACAATAATAATAATTAGCATAAAAATAATTATATAATAATTAATAATTATTATATAAGTTTTTAAGCTGATGACGTATTTATTTTTTGATGTAAAGGTGATAACAAAAACATGTGTAAGGTAGTTTTCATAATCATTTGGAGCGAAGGTAAACAATATTCCGTATTCTATAATGTTTATTACATAACAAATGGCGAACACCTACAGTATATTAGTATATCACACAGTGACATTATGGCTGAATTAATTCATAGCGTATAGAATAGGGGGAGAGAGAATAATAATGAAGAGGGGGATAAAGGGAGGAAGAGAGGGATAATAATGTTTATTATATGGTGGATATGTACAGTATTAGTATATGTATATCACACAATGACATTATGACTGAATTAATTCATAGCGTATAGAATAGGGGGAGAGAGAATAATAATGAAGAGGGGGATAAAGGGAGGAAGAGAGGGATAATAATGTTTATTATATGGTGGATATGTACAGTATTAGTATATGTATATCACACAATGACATTATGACTGAATTAATTCATAGCGTATGAGAGGGGGAGAGAGAATAATAATGAAGAGGGGGATAAAGGGAGGAAGAGAGGGATAATAATGTTTATTACATAACAAATGGCAAACACCTACAGTATTAGTATATCATACATTGACATTATGACTGAATTAATTCACAGCATATAGAATAGGGGAGAGCGAATAATAATGAAGAGGGGGATAAAGGGAGCTGGATGGTGGATATGTACAGTATTAGTATATCACACAGTGACATTATGGCTGAATTAATTCATAGCGTATGATAGGGGGAGAGAGAGAGAATAATGAAGAGGGGGGTAAAGGGAGGAAGAGAGGGGTAGAGTAAAGGGGGAGAGAATGAGTGGGTAGAGGAGCCTACTCATTATCCTATTACTAATAGGTAGCTTTGCTCTCTATCATTACATCAATAATGAAGTTGATTTCATGAGCATGTATGAACACATATACCCATTCAACCAGTAATGGCTAGTGATGTGTTGTGTCTTCTTTACCCCACACATATAAACACACTCTCTCTGCCTCTGGCTACAATTGCGTGCATGCATCTACATATTGTCATTAACTTTAGCTTCATATGGTACACTTCACAAGAAGTATATCAAACATTTTAATTGCCTCTACCTACATCTGTTCAAAAGCATCGTACACATGTAGAGTTGTTTATTCCGTAGAAGTTCTTCCTTCCACTTTATGTCATCTTTAATACTACGACACCATTTAGTAGAATATCCTTTGTGTATAGTTATCATTTATCAACAGTAGTGTACACGGGCCAGTTTAAATTTGACACATCCCAGTATGAATCTTATTTAATTTTAAACACGGGCCTGAGCGCATGTGTAGTTTTCCCACAGGAAGGTTGTGGTGTTGTTGGTGTGTGTACTACAACACTAATCTCTGTTGCACTGTTGCAGTGCTGCTCGCCAGTTTGATAAACAAATTAAGTATTCATCAATTGCTATAAAAATTATAGCTATTTCTTGTAAAATATTTACAAAATGTACACAATAATTATATGTATAATATAGATATGTATAGTGTGACAGTGTGCATTAAAACAAGTTTGAACAAACGAAAGTACATAATGATAAAAATTTGAGTGAATTGACAACTGCATTAAGTCATAATCCTCTGGGACATTCTTTTGATTCTGATCAGGATTCAGGTCGACCTCAGTGCTGGCTCCTATATCATTCTCCATTGATACAATATCTATCATCAATTCTCTGACAGTATTTTTTATTCAGTGATAGTGCCTGGCACCTCTGACCAATCCCAGTAGTGCAGAATCAGAAAAACACGATAGTCGATCGACTGAAGTTGCTTTAAGTTTCTTTCCCTCATCGCTGTAGAGGTCATTCTTTATAAAGTCAAGAGCAGTCGTGCTCCTTGCTTTCTTTGGTAGGGAGGATGAGCAGGTCAAATTGTTTGGGATGGATATCTTTCTGTTATCTGCCTCAAACTCTGGATCAAACACAAATCCGGAGTCTCTCTTGAATGATTCCTCAGAGAGTGAGAGAGAGGAAGTCTCCTTAGTGCTCAGTCCAGTTTCTTGGATCACATCCATTGATCCGCGTCTGCTGTCATTGGAGCTCATAGAGTCAAGTCTTGAGCGGACCATAGTCACTCGGGCGGTGAGGCTCTCTCTCTCCAAGCTCATGGCTACAAGGTTGCCGCGGATAGCATTGATCTGTGCATCAAGCTTAGCCATGGTCTCCTCGGGGTCTTCTGGCGCTTTACTGCTGTTCCTTCTCTTCTCGAAGAAGCTCAGGAGAGAGCCGGAGAGATTCTCTTCGCTGCCTTTCAACTGAGGGTTGAGGGTGGCGTATTTCTTGACTGTCCCGGCACTCCCTGTCCTTTGGAGATTCTTGACGCTGCTGGAGCGCCTCTTGTTAATCTCTTGTATGGTTGAGAACATCTTGTAAGGTTTGCTCTTTGCTTCTGTGGTGTTGCTTTAGCTGTTCTAGTGCTTTGCTGTAGCTTTAGACCAAGACTTTCTTCTTTTTATAGCATCCAAGAGCAAAGATGCCACACCCCTTCCTGCAATTTTGACATCATCTTTTAAAAATTTCCATTTTCTGCATGAACAGAACCGTTGCTTGCTTTTTACTACATTTTAAAAAAGCGACTGCTGCATCGATATTAACATTCATTTGAGCTTTAAAAATATCATAAATATTAATAATAGGTGTACATGTAACGTATGTGATATAAAGTAAAAAATAATCTAAAAAGTGCGACTGTGCTATATCATTAATTGTAATCGTTGAGATAGCGAACTATTTCGAAATCAATACTCCTAAAAATAAATTATTTGATTAATGGCCAGCATAATATCTCTCTCTCTCTCTTTCCATACTTTGCAATAGCTGATACTTGTTCAAAAGTTAGTAGACACTAATGAGGTAAGAGAGGGAGAGGGAGAGAGAGAGAGAGAGCAAAAGGAAGAAATACATGTACAAATGAGTCTATTCAACCCAATGTAGTCAATCATGAAATTGTGACATCATGTACAAGTAGTTCCGGTATTAAACACAACATATCTATGTACTATTTTCAAGGATGGGGAGTATAGTCATATAAAGTACTGCTACATGTGGCTACAATAATACATTGTAACATTCCTTCAATTTCGTGACAATTCAAAAATTCGATCGCTAGCAACACTTCAACAAAATTAATTTCTTTAATCTTTACTGACAAAAATCATGTTTCAAATAGGTGACCCTTAAGCAATAGAACGCAGAAATTCTATCTTAATACTACATGTACATGTGTGTATATGTCCATACATAGAAATATCAGTAAAAGTCTTAAAATGTTATTATTTATTAAGCATGTGGGCATCAAGGAAATGATTTAAAAATTTGTTTCTTTTGATTTGAGTATGAGAATGCTATGCACATGTGCATATTTACATTCACCCCATCCCCAAATATATTTAATGATATGTGTAATTAGACTTAAAAATAAAAAAGGAGTGTAGTACACTCACTGTGTATTTGACTGAATCAAGTGAACCAGCTCCACCAGTTCTTGACAAACACCTCTAACTGACTAATGTTTCAACCTGGAGAGAGAAAGAGGGGGGAGAGAGGGGGAGAGAGAGAAAGAGACGAGAGAAAGAGGGAGAGAGAGAGGGCGGGGTGAGAGGGGGGGGGAGAGAGAGAGAGAAAGAGACAGTAAATTCTAAAATACAAAGTATATGTACATGTACATGTATTATGATGATGATGTACATGTACACTACACGCTCATTATAGTCCTTCCTCTCTCCTCCTCACAAAACATGTGTAGGAACCTGTTAAAAAAACAAAGTACAACTACAACCACTTGTCTCCCCACCACCTCCTCTCACCACTGGAGGCTACAAATATCAAGAAACCACTGAACCTAAAATGCTACAAGTAAAATCTGCATAACAATTAAACTGACAGGTACAACACAGTTTAGTAAAGTGATATATGAGGAGTGTTAGGTGTGAAAGGAATAGGTCAAACTGCTACAAATGAGTCCCTTCCTTTATCAAGAAGAGATGAATTGTGACAAAGCGAAAACAATAATTGGATTACGTACTATGACAAATATTTCAATTAGAGTAACAAGTAACAGGTGATGTACTACTACATTGTACTACAGTACATTGTCCTTGTACATGTGGAGGGTTAAAATTTGGCAATTTGACCATGTAAGAGCTACTGACACACAGTGAGAAGTACACAAAGTTACCAAAATGGCATTCATGACTTCGCATTTTTTAAATCACTAAATATTTAGAAGTCTTTGTATTCCAAAACAGGCTCAGAAAGTACACACTCAACATACCATTTTGATAAAATAGATAATTCCTGTTTAGGAACCCATTCCTATCTTTTGAAACAAAATCTTCATCCAAATAGATACCCAGGGAATACAATAATGTTTTATTATTAAGTTTTATTATGTGTTTATATCCACTGATAAAAGTTTGTCACTGATAGCAGACAACTAGTTACCTTTTCTTAAATGTACATACACCATGTACATACAAGTAGGGTTTCCGAGTTAAACAGCATGAGCTTCATGAGCTGAGAAGCACTGCAGTACTGGTGCATGGCAATTGGGGCAACTTTAAAAATTCATAAAAAATCCAAATTTGATCGGAATCAGCTCAAAATTGATACACTGCATAAGGACATGTATATGTATCAGAAAAAATTATAAAAATAAAGAATTCTCTCCTAGTCATTTTTGACAAAATTTGGCCCACAACCAAAGGCTATAGCCTTTGGTCATTGGCCTCATTTTTTAGCAACTTCAAAAAATCATAAAAAATCCAAATTTGATCGGAATCAGCTCAAAATTGAAAGACAGCATAAGAACATGTAAATGCATCAGAAAAAATTATAAAAATGGAGAATTCTCCCTTTGTAATTTCTGTCAAAATACCCTGTACACACAGTCTCACAGGTACAGGGTTATATGCCCAATTTTTGAGCAACTTGACATTAATCCATTGACAAGAAGCCGTGTGATTACTCAACCCTCATACCTCCCCCAGCCAGTGCCTCCTCTCACCACTGGAGGCCACAAATATCAATAAACCACTGAACCTAAAATGCTGCATGTAAAATCTGTAGAACAATTAAAGTGACAGGTACAATTGAGTCTAGTAATGTAATATATGAGAGACGTTGGTGTGAAAGGATTAGGTCAAACTGCTACAAACAAGTGTCTTCCTTTAACGAGTTATGAGGGAGAGAGAGAGAGATAGTGATAAAAAGTACACAGCAATATTGCATCACAAGACAAAAATTTAGATTAATGAGAGCCAAACTGACAAAAGGGATACGCATACTTCACATCATTGTATCTCATTCCCTCTCCTTAAACAATGAGGGATACATTGTGAACCGCATTCTCCATCCTTTTCATATCGGAATGATACAACCCCAGGATAATGGGAGATACACGTAGACCGTGTCTAAGTGTTTGTAAAATGCTATTGTGTGATGGATGTAGGCTGTGGCCCTCTCAATGGAGGGTGGGTATGTGACTCAAAAGAGAGACTATGTAGTCATTAAAGGAATAAGACTGTGACATACACATCCAAGGATATGACATAAGGATAAAGTATGTGTCACAAATCAACAAAACGTGAGGGCTAGATACATTACAAGGAAATGAATAGATCAGAGTCATTGTATCACATTCTCTTGATCTCTCCTTAAACAATGAGGAGTACTACATGTGGACCACATTCCCTGTCCTTTAATATCACAATGACACAACCTCTACCTCACATCATCCAGTGAAGCTAAATTACTATTACTATTATTATCATTATTACTATTGTGTTATTGTTATCATTATTATTATTATTACTGTGACACATTCAGGGTGTGACCTAGAATGGATCCTGTATGAGAGACCGTGTTCTACCTCACATCATCTAGTGACGCTAAATTACTATTACTACTATTATTATTATCATTATTACTATTATTATTATTACTGTGACACATGCAAGGGGAAACGGAAGCTATAAGCTGGAATGGATGCTGTATGAGAGACTGTGTGTGTCACACCATATCATATCATAATATCCAAATGGGAGTGACACAACCACTGGATGAGGGCAGATAGGTAGGTACAGTTCATATTACTTTCATTGCAGAGTGCCACTGTGATACATACAGTACATATGGGGAATGCATTTCCATATCACTTTCATGCAATTGCTAATAATGCTAGCAGTTGAATCAGGCATCATAAAGTAATCAGAATGAACATAATTTATTTATTTAGCTACATGTACGCTTAAATTTGTTTCGTGTTAGGGCGTGCCTCAACTAATTTCTGATAGCTGAGACCCTTTGAATAGGAGCTGTGTGACTTCACAAAGAGAGACAATGTACATCGTACGTCACTTAAGGATAAATAAAGACTGTGATAAACACATCCAAGGATATGACATAAGGATAAAGTATGTGGCAAAGCGTGAGGGGTAAGGAATACGTACAAGGAAGATTAACAGACAAAAGATGAGAATGATATGTTGTACGTGCTACTGGATGTCTGTCTTGTCCTTGTAATAATAGATAGTAATATGTGACAGGAGTGGTATGAAGAATGCAATAAAAATAATTAAGAGACACACATACTTCAAATGTATACGTGTATGGGGACACAGAAACTTGTCTGTCACAATAATGGGCATTAATTAGTAATATTGGGTGTACTGCATATTGTATATTAACTATTATTATTGGGTATACAATGTACTTTCACTATTATTGAGTACATGTACATGTAGTAGAGAGAGAGAGGGGGGGAGGGAGAGGGAGAGAGACAGAGGGAGAGAGACATAGTGACATTGAAGATTATCAAAACGGAAGACAGACAAAAAAGAGGGAGAGAAATCACAAATAGAAAGACAATAAACAGTGTTTATGTTTTCGGATACAGTATGACGCAATAAACAACAGAAGTTTAAAAAATCCATTTCTTCACATGTATCTCACTCTGTCTTTAAACCCACACCAAGTTACAGTACATGTACATTACTGCATTGTAAATCAATTATGATACACATGTACATGTACATGGACTTCTACATGCACAAATGTACAGTACATATCCTTCAGACATAGCAGAAGACTATTCATTTTTTTCTTCAAGTTATGACCCTACAAAGAAAAGCATCATATCCACTACCACCCACTCAATTAGGTAGGAGAGTTGACCTAGTCTCTGATCCATGAAATTACACTGTACAATGAAAGACGAATGATGATAAGGGGGTAATCGCCACTGATGAGATCACAATGGATAATAATAAACAAGCAGAAATCAGTAATAACAATATCACCACCAGTTAAAAGAAATGATTTAATGTACGTGTCATTATTTCTCTCTCTACCATTCTAATAACATTTACAGAGCTGTGAATCAGTTACAAGTGTACCCAACTGGTTAAGCACTAATTTACATGTACATGAAGAGAGTTCGTTATAACCTCTTTTAGAAATCAATGATTTTATTCAATAAAAATTAGCTACAATTTATCACATAAAATTTGTAAATCAACCTGTTTTTCACAACTAACTCATGTGTCTCTCTATAAGTCATGGAGCTGTGACTCGGTTATAATTTTAACACAATTGGTTAAGCACTAATTTACATGTACATGTAAGTTATCAGTCTACATTGTATTTCGTTATAACCTCTTTCATAAATTAATGATTTCATTAAATAAAAATTAGCTACACTTACTTGTGAAAAACAGGTCGATTTACAAATTTTATGTGATAAATTGTGGCTAATTCTTATTGAATAAAATCTTTAATTCATAGAAGAGATTATAACGAAATGTTAAGTTTCAAGTGTGAATCAGCCTTCAGTTATTGGTGTCCAACTAACTAGTTATACTCAAGCCCTACTCTATTCCAATAAGAGGTGGACATCAGCAGATGTCCCTCCAATTACTACACACAAGGCATTCAAAAACAAAAAACAAGGCACGTACGTGCGTACCCTTTCTTTCATAACCTCTCTCCATGACGCTACCAATTACCACCACTACTACCGATAGTTATAATATGATATAATAGTACATCCATGTACACACTCACATAATCTCTCACTCTCTCCCTCTCTTTGTTCCTAGACTAGTAGTAGTGTATTGTAACTCAATATATCTGTGAGGAATCGCCACCTGGATGGGCCTGGACATTGATCAAAGAGGCTGCGTTGTATAACCAAAACTTGTTACAATGTTATGCAACACACAGACGCATATGCAATTCAACATATGTATCAGCTAGTATTGTGTATACACACATGTATATGTATGTGTGTGGTCTCTACCTTTCATTCGTATAAATCAATTTTAACTCGACAATTATCGCTCAGGCACTCTTGCTTAGTTTTGTGTTATGACAGAAAACAAATAGCAATATAAAATTGAATTTTGTTGCCACAGTACAAATTATAGGCGCTCTATAGAGAGTTACGCATGCATGAACATCCAAGAATTAGTTCCAATAAGGTCTTATGATTATACTTCCATAATACAAATTGCTTAAGTTGATTCTGATGAATAATTTGTGAGTTACATGCATGAGTATTTAAAAAGCAGGAAATCACGAAGTACATGTACATATATGTACATGTACCGTATAGCGGGTAATTTTCGACTGGTGCTTATTTTCGTCTGTTTCGTTGCTATTAATTCTGAACGAAAATTAATTCTGATGAAAATTAATTCTGAAGATAGGCGTGACCATAATAAATTATTAATAACATGATAGCAAGCATGGATGGCCTTGAAAACGGTGTTCACCTTCTAAAGAATCTCTTCCAGACCCTACAGGACCAGGGGACCTCTTTCTAATGCTATCAGTCCTACAGATGCTAGTGAAGACATCAGATCAATTATTTTTGTCTAGTCGAAAATAAAACCAACGAATTTTTATTCTAAAGTCATTTCTGGTTTTAGTTGAAATTTTCAACCACCGAAAATTACCCGCTATACGGTATTTGAAAAAGGATGGACTTAATACACAGCCCATGGAAAAATTGGCTCTAAAATCATTTCAAGTTTTTGTTACATGTAGTCATGTACTTAATATGTGCATCAATGTCTTTATTGTACAGATACATTTAGGTACATGCACATGTATGTAGAAAGTTGGAACTGATTCTGATTACAAATTTGAGGACATAAGTACTCTACAAAGTAGTTCCAAATCCTCAGTTAAAGATGTATGACACATCCTAACAGGAATTAGATTACAAATAATCCTCCAATTAAAGGAGGAAGTATTTCCTTTCCCTCTCTTACTCTTTCAAGGATACAAATGAAACTGAATAACTACCCCATCAACCATACAACCAACCAACAACTGCCACCTAATGGCTTGTAATGGCTTCTGTCTCTATCTTATCAGAAACATGTTTTTACCTCTAATAATGCACTGGAAAGACTTGCTATTAAGTAAATACTATAAACCTAATAATAACTAAACTTGACAGCATGTGATCCTACTGCAGTCAAATTGCATGTACTAGTATACCGGTACATTACCAATAACACAAACACCAAATCAATATGAGCATGTATGTACATGTACATGTACGTGTAGCTGCACGCACTATAGTCCAACAAAAAGTGACTGATCTGATTCTGATCACAAATTCAAGGACATACATTTGTAAGTACGGTACAATCATGTGGTTCCAAATAGTCAATGAAAGAGTACATGTGCAAGCATGATACATCCTAACAGGAATTAGAGAAAAACTAATCCTTCATTTAAAGGAAATCTTTCCTTCCCTTCTCTTACTCTTACAACAATACAAATGAAACCAAATAACAAAAACATAAAATCAATATTGACATGTATACATGTACAATGTAGCTGCATGCACCTTAGTCTAACAAAAAAGTGACTGAAGGTATGCAAGACATGTGTACATGTCAGTGCTCCAATTACGTACATATGTAGCAGCTGGAAAATTCTTAGTCAACTGTAGTTCAGTTATAGACACACGAAGAGGCCAGGTGACAACTGCATGTAGCTATAAGAGTGACTATACATGCATCAGTGACGCACTAGGCAATTAAATGTAATTTGTACTCATTTCGTTGATGTCTGTAGTATTAATTAATTAATTAATTATTAAATAGATTAACAAAGAAATAGATAGAGAAAGAGAGAAAAAGAGAGGGAGTGAGGGGGGAGAGAGAGGGAGGGAGAGAGAAAGAGGCACATAAAGAGCAACTACTAGTTACACTATGTTAACCACTGACCCATATAATTGATACCTACTACCAATAAATAACTCCCAGACCAGCTGTCGCGATATAAATACAACAATGGACCAATAACAATACACATATCAACCCTGAGGGATTATAATTAGAGCCAGTGGGCAGTTAAATTGGGGCAAAATGTACAGTACATATGTGTATGTGTACATGTTCATATTTTAGAAGCATGTACATGTACAATTTTACATGTAGCTATTAATAGTCGTTAGAAAATCAATGAGCATTACCATATATGGTAGCAGTAGTGAGTATAGTGCGTACCTTCCGTTACTAGGGGCAACATGATTCTACATTAAGGCGTTCAGTTACTACATGTGTATACTTACAACAATATGCCGGTACAAGCACTGACAATACATGAATCACATGGCTGTAGATACATGTACATGTACATTGTATTGTAGTGCAGATACATACATACAGCATGTACCATAAACCCTCTCACATGGGAGAGTTCATTAAACTACATGTACATACATGTAAATACTGTATACTACAATGTATATGTTCTATATACTATATCTATCTGTCATTTTTAACTCAGACACACATATATGTACATATGTACATGTATACTGTAAATGCACTTTTATTGTACATACTATTGTATTACTTTGTATGTACTAGTTTACTTTGTATGTACTTTGTATGTACTTTGTATGTACTTTGTATGTACTTTGTATGTATTGTATGTAATACAATAAAATAGTAATACTGTATTGTATTACTATTTTATTGTATTACTATTGTACATGTGTAGACACACATATATAGTAATACATATACAGTTAATATAACACTCTACATTGTGTTAAGTAGGCATTGCAAGGGCTGGGAGGGTTTACTAAACTACATGTACACAAATACGTATACTATTATGTTCTACTAGGTGAATGTAAACATTGAGGGGGCGAGCCATCAATTCACATTGTTTGATAAGAAGATTAAAATTATAATAAATCCAGCTCTTAGCCTGCATGCATATTCAGACCCCAGCCTCATGGCCGGGGTCTGAACAGAGCAATCACACCAGTTAACACAACCAAAATAACCCAGTAAAAGAGACAAGGATGAACTATCCTGTCAATTTGAAAAAAATGTGCCAAGCTAAACTTTTAATCAAGCTTCCATCAATTAACATCTTTTTGAAATAAAACAACTGAAATAAAATCAATCCAGCTCTTAACGTGCATGCATATTCAGACCCCATCCTCATAGTCCGGCGGGGTCTGAACAGAGCAAACCCACTATTTAACACCACTGACCAAAATGACCTAGTAAAAGTGACAACAATGAACTGTCCTAATACTTTGAGAAAAAGTGACAAGCTAAACTTCTAATCAAGCTTCCCTCACAATTTTAATTCTGTCAATGAGAGGACTAATCTAGAGGAGTCTTAGATCAAACTGCTTTTAAGTTCTTCAGCCTTTAGAGATGCTTTAGACAGCCCCTCTCTTTTATCTAACTGTTAGAAACTCAATCTGAGTTTGTCACGTTAAAATTTCCGCTTTTTGACCACACCATGTACCGTACCAGGGATCCCTGACCACACCCTCTAGATTAATTTTGCCCACGTGGTCCAAATTTATCAATAATAGTATACTAATTTAATTTTCGTATTCTTCCGTTCATAAACAAGACGTAACGCAAATAGACCTAGACAGATTAGTGTGGGTCTCGCTCATGCTCGCCCCAATTATTTTTCTATCTATTTTTAACTCAGACACTCATACATGTAACATGTATTATGTATACTGTATATGTATTTTTGTAAATAGTTTAGTATTAGGTAATACATGTAGATTATGTGCATGTACATGTACTATAAAATACATACATGATGTATGCACATGTACATGTATGTGTAGATTGGTCAATACCAGACACATGATGAGCGGAAGTGTACATGAATGTTCATGTGTTGCTGTAGTGAGACCAATAATGATTTAATTAATAAACAGACAAAATAACTCCTCCATCTCCCTAGCCTCTCTCCCACTCTCACTTTATTTATGTCTCACTTTTACCATTTCACTTTTCCTTAATTCTCTTAATTCTCTCCAACACACACACACACACACACACACACGCACACACACACACATACACGCGTGCGCACACACACACACACACACACACACACACACTCTCTCTCTCTCTCACCCTCTCTTTACCTGTGAGAACACGTTAGGGCTAGAGCAATTATCTCCCTCAGTTATACTATGATAAATGGCCATGAGTCTGTCAAGTGGGTGAGACTTTGGGCCTGACAAATAACGCTTTATCTATTAATAGAGTAAGACCCTGTCATTAACTCGTTATTAAATATAATTAATTTACTTCTTCTCTTTTCCTTTTATTTAAATTCTCATGTCGTCTCTTTTTCTGTTTCCTCTAAAATAAAAATAAAATAAAACAACTAATTAAATAATTGAGGTGATTGACTAAATGTGATGATAAATAAAAGTAAAATAAAAAATCAATTAAATAATATATGGTAAATGATTAAATGTGATAATAAATGGCTTAATGAACAAACAAGGGAAGTGATATAACTGAGATAACTGAGTAGGAGAGATTGCTATGGTAAAATGGAGAATCAGTGTCGCTACGTGTAATTACATTAAAGCATCCCCCACAGATAAACATCCACACACTATACATGCACATATATGTACATGTACACATTAGATAGTCAATGACCGGTAATATGGAGTGCGTGTTGTCTAAATAAACAGCTGCTAGACTGGCCCTACTAATTAAATCACTAATGATTTCTTGATAATAAAGTTAGCAATGCTTTTATCTATACCGGCCTACATGTACATGCATGTAGCTATGAATGGTAAATTTAACAACAAAAGACACTTACTTATGTACGTGTATATACAAGTCTATGTACCAGAGTATGCTGTTATCCTGTGACGTATATGTACACAAACACGTACACATTAATGGTGATGGATCGAAATCAGAAAAATAGAAGATCTGTGTGTAATTCTGTGTATGACTAATGCTGCTGGTAATTTAGCTATTCAAGTCTACCAGGTACAAGAATACTGTCTGGGTCCATGCATTCAAACAAGATTCTGTGATGATCACAAAGTCAGGTCATATTCCTATCAGCCAAACTTAGGAAGCATTGATGACTCCACACCAAACCAAACTCAGTCAAACACACATGGAGAGGTATTTAAATATTACCAAATTAAATAATAATAATAATAATAATATTTAATATTATAATAATATTTAATATTTAATGCCTGGTATTTTATTAACATGTTATTTAAATAGTAGTACATGCATACATGTACATGTACATGTATTCCATACCTTTGAGAAGAATCTCTTATCTGTACTGGACGCATTATGTGAGGCCAAATAAGAAGAGATTAATATGTATTTGATTGGGACAGGAAATTGCAATAATTCGGAGCTACGACAGGTAACTATGACAACAAAAATAACAATTAAAAAATTATTATTATTACATGTACATGTATGTAATGTATTGATGTACCTTGCTTATCAGTCAGTATCTCATTGATAGTAATCTCACTACAAATTAATAACAAGTATTAACAACTACTACTAATAAATAATTGTATATTTTTAAAACTACTATTAATAATAATACTACTACTAATAAGAACTACTATTAATAAGCATTAATACATGTAACTATTATTATTATTAATGATTAATACCTTGATCGGTTTCTCAATAGTAATTTACTAATGTGAGCTTTGAAGTGTGGCTCAATGTGACTCCAGAGCTTACGAGATGCAGACTCTGAAACTGAGAACAGAATTATAAGAATGAAATTATGAGAATGAGAATTATCAAGAGTATAAATAATATATAAAAGGTATTATTTAATACTTCAGGCATTATTTACTCTTGCTGTTATGAGAATGGAATGACATTACCTTGCCTTTGATCCACTGGCTGACAGTATAAGGGGAAAAATATATTTGACTAATAATAATGATAATAATAATAATAATAAATATAAATTGATGTCTTACTATGTATAGTAGGTCCTTCAAATCTCGACTCACAGCACTCACTATGTTATAAATCATATTTGAATAGTTTATAATAAAGGAGCTAGAGTATTTCTGAGAGCTTAAATTATTCGACAAAATCTTAATGACATTATCTGGAGAGAAAGAGGAGAAAGGGATAGAGATGTGACAGAAAAAGGGAAGGATGGAGAGAGGGGGAGGGGAGAGAGAGAGAGAGAGAAAGAGAGAGGGGGGGGGGGAGAAAGAATCATCACCCATCTTTCATCTTTTCAGTACCTTTGCTATATTGTGCAAAGTGTAGTCTAAATGGTGGCCTAATGCCTGTTGTGAAGGAAAACTGATCCCAGCTGAGAACACTTATAAATATCATACAAAGATTAGAATGTGTCTAAAATAAATAAATAAATAAATAAATATTAAATAAATCAATTTAGTACATGTGTGTGTAATTCACACATACAATGTACATGTACATGTATGTAATACATATACATGTAGATATTATTCAAACACTACTTAATGACACTCACCAGTTCTGGTAGTCTGATTAAAGCAGGTAGAAGTGTCTCATTTGAGTCCCTCAACATTTGAGCATTATCAATCACTATGTATACTGTATCACCAGCTTCACCTATCACACTACTTTCTTCTACATCAACAATATCTCTGTCTCTACTTAATACTGATTTTAGTTCCGTTACGAAACCAGTGAGGGAGTCACAGCGAGTATGGCCAGTGTATTTATTAGTGGAGGATGGGGTAACACCTAATGATAAATATGAATAAAAAGAAGACAATTTTTGAGGCTATAGCCCATGGTTTTTCCTAAAAAATTGGCTCCAAAATCACGCTCATATTTTATTAAATTTTCTGATACATATTCATGTCCTTATGCTACATGTATGTAGAAAGTTTGAGCTGTTTCCAAAAAATAATTTTCAAGTTATGACGATTTTTAAAAACAAGCCAATTTAAAAAAGCAACAAGTATACAGTATTATGTGAAAAATAGCTAGGAGAGAATTCTCTAGTTGTATTATGCTTTTCAGGTTCATATACATGCACAGTACATGTTCTGATGTTGTGTGAGCTAACTTTGATCGAAATTGGATTTTTTAATGAATAATTTGATGTTTCACAATTTAACAAAAGCACCCTTCAAAAGCCACATACTAATGTGATGTTTGTTAGCTCACAAAGCATGTTTTGTAACTCATTTATATGTAGCATGCTTTGTGGATATACAAAACACATAATCAGGATTACCAGTTAATTCATTCAATATGCTTTCAAACAGAACTCTATTTGAATAGCACTCCCTCATATCCACATAGCAGTGCCGCACCTAAAAATAATAATAATAATTGACCACACCCATACCTTAATCGCTAATAATTATTATTACTTTCAATAATGACATTAATGACTTAACAACTGAGGTCTTTCCACTCGATTGGGCTCCATAAATAAAGACAAAGGGCATAACATCATCCCTGGGCTATAAATATATGTGTCACAATAATTAAATTTATTTAAATTTATTTATAATTACTTTTCCCATTATTGTCAGCAAGGTGTCTATTTGATACTGCCGTCCGGGGAATCTCTTCAATAAATCACTTTGAACTCTATGTAGGTCTGGACTGCTGACCTACTTGTACACGTATACATTTAACAATGAAACAGTATTACAAATGTACAGTAACCTAATACATGTACTAATATTAAATGAATCAAATATTTGTGTACTTATGTCACTACAATAAAGTAAGTTGGTCTTGTACTCGTGTTAAGTACATGTATATCTCACCCCATGTTTCTTGATTGCCTCATCTCTATCTTCCCCTCTCTCTTCCTTTCCAACTAAAGCTACATGTACGTCTTCCTCCTTCTCCTCTTCCTCCATATTTTCTCTCTCCTCCTCCTCCTCAAGTTCTTCTCTCTCCTCTTCTGTTATGCTTCCATCTTCAACTGTCTCTCTGTTCTCTTTCTCCTCCTCTATTCTCCTCCTTTTATTTTTATTTCCCTTCCCTTTGCTCCTCTTCCGTTTCCTCCATAACTCATCGCTTGATTCTTCATCATCGACAGTATCTGTAGTACAACTACATGTATCATCATCCATTCCTTCCATTAGCTCCTTCCTAATTAAAGCCCCATTACTGATGCGGACGGTACTGGTTATCGTGGGAAACGATAATTGTTTATTGACCAATAAACCATTTGTAAGAGGAACTGATGTCACTCTATTGCTTCCCTTGTTCGAACGTGACTGCTTATTTACTAATTGTCCCTTTATTAGGGGAAAAGATTTCAACTTTGTCTTGGTAGTAGTGTGTTTATTTAATTGGAGGCTGCAGGGAACCATACGTACAGGGAAGGGGGTGGAGGAGGGAGTAGCCTCAGCTGGGCCAGGGGCCAGGCCCTCTATATCAACTTCGGATAGTTCGGAGTCGGAACTATAATAGACTAGAAATTAGAAATAATTTATTTAAATAATGAATACCTTGCCATCATCACTAGATATTATTATTATGAAAGTATTTTCATACACACATGACAGACGCCATCTTTAATGAATACAAGCTGAACTACGCCCATAACCCGCGCCTCGCCGGGAAATTAACCACGTGTTTGCACGTGTTCAATCATAAGTGGGTGTGGTCATAGTCGGACTCACGTGCGTTCACGTGTTTAAGTAATACGGAGAAAACCGGGCTACAATGAACAAAGAGGTACTGTCAGAAGTTTCCTTCTGTCCTGAATACCAACCCGTATGGGTATATAACGGCTCCCTTTAGTTCTTTTTGTACAGGGTTTGAAAGAAGAAGACAAGTTGACGAGTATTCGTGAAATATTCAAATCAAAACTTTGCACAAGACAAACCAAACCCACTCCAGTCGATCCCCTTATTCCATTTAATGCCCATCACGTGAGTTTAATTGGTCATTGGTACATGTTTATTATTACGTTATTAAAAGGATATTTTAGATATTAGCACTGGGGGGTTATCGCTTTCCCATTGCTATTTAATTAATATTAGTCCAACAACCAATTATCAGGTAATTAATTAGTGATAATAGTCACACCCACTAATTAATTTATTAGACTACAGGGCTGACATCAGTAAGGGATGAATCTGGACATCATTATCAGTTTAAAGGATTTTTATTATTATCTAATGTAGGACTGGATCACGTGAGATCAATAAAAAATAAAGATTTTAATTTTTTTCTTTTTTTAACAGATTCCACAATTAGTAATGAAACAATACAATATTGATTACACAATCTCGCTAAAGCCACACCCATTACCGACAGTAATTACATGTATTTTTATTAATTTTCTTTATTCTATTAATTTCTAGTTTTATAAAGTAGAGGACATTGTATTATTAATGCAGTTCATTTTTGTGGACCTCCTTAACCTGTTTGACTGGTTTAACAGTTAGCGGAGTACGTGTACATGTATACATGTAGTCTTCCTTCTTGTAGAATTGGTGTCAAAAGATTTCAAGTTATTTTTTATGCCAAGATTTGAGTGCAAAGGTAAGTACAATATAGCATAACATCCTACTATGTGTACATATTGGAATGACAAATACATTTACTTTTCCATTTATGTATTTTACATGTATAACATGAATTAATAGAATTATTGTTTTTAATTTTTTAGATAGAAAGGATAATTTGATACCAGCGTCAATGTGCAACATTATGGAATCACTAATATCATTTTATAAACCATTATCGCTTCCTGTAAGTTTAATGCACATAATATGCTATCCATAATTGTCAGCATATTTTGCTTGATTGTCTGACCTAATTCTGTGTTCTATTATTTTGTCTGAGCAATGTAGTTTTTAAAATATTGATATAAAATTTTAATAATTATTAAAAGCAATTTAACATAATAACTAATTAATCGTGTCCAATCATAGAGTTACCCACAGTGAGGTTGTGCTGTAGCTGCATGCTTCATGAGCTAACAAGCACTACAATGGAGCAACTTTAAAAATTCATAAAAAAATCTAAATTTGATTGGAATCAGCTCAAATTTTCTGCACAACATAAGAACATGTATATGTATCAGAAAAAATTATAAAAGTGGAGGATTCTCTCCTTTTCAATTTTGGTGAAATTTGACCAGCGGCCCTGTACTATAGTACAGGGACTTTTACCCGATTTTTGAGCAACTTTTAAAATTTATATAAAAATCAAACATGATCAGAAACAGCTCAAATTTTCTACACAGCATAAGAACATGTATATTTATTAGAAAAATTATCAAAATGGAAAATTCTCTCCTTGTGATTTTTGTCAAAATTCCATGTACTACATGTAGTACAGGGTTTTTGGCTTAATTTTTGAGCAACTTGACAATCCACTGACAAGAAGCTGTATGAACACTATGCCAAAATCCTGTGGGAAACCCTGTCTTAAGCAATATGTTCACACACTATCTCTAAATATTGAATATAATTCTAGGCTCTCCTGTCACATGTACATGTATATGCATATCCATCCTCTTTCTTTCCAGAGACCTGCTTCTGTTACTAAAGAGATGGGAGTTTCAAGACAATACAGCAACTGTATCATACATAATAGTAACAAGGTACAGACCATGCATATTACATATTTACAGGCCATACATGTATAGTGTACATATAGTCTTTATTACCCTTTCTCCTTATCTAGTCTCCATCCAGTATTAGAGTAGACAGTATTAATTGGCACTCTCGTGATTCAGAGGTGAATGGACCCCTTTAATTCATTAATTTAATGAATGATCTTAGGCTATTCTTGTTCACTTGTGTCATTTTGTTCCTGATAGTCACATCACATCCTCTCCTGATACAGTAACTAGTACAGGAAGACATCATCGACCACACAAGCACAAACAGCAGGAAGGAACAAGATATGCATGTAGCAGGAAACATACGTAAATATTATTATTATTAGCATGTTGTTGTTGTTGTTGTTGTTGTTGTTGTTGTTATTGTTGTTGTTTTTTTTATTAAGGAGGGAGACTGTTGTTGAGCTTCAAAGCAGTTCTAGTTATCATTTCACAGGAATATTCACCGACTGCACACAACTGGCCCTACTCTGCCCCCAGTTGTCTTCTCATTTATTGTTTCATTTATCTTTGGTAGATTTGGAGGCTGGTATTAATTACAAGTTTAAAGACAGGAGTTTTCTAGAAGTTAGAAGAAAGATAGAGGGAGAGAGAGATGATTATGATTTTCTATTATTCAGTTAGCCCTGACCCACACTTCCTTCATTACTCAATACAATGGTTCTCGGCCCCTACCTAATGAAATACTCATATCATTATCAAACTGTGGTACAAGGGCTCACGTTTCCGCAGCAACAGGTAAGGCCCCACCCTCAAAGAGACCGAAGAGCGGAATAGAAGGATTGACAGAAGCTGCTGAAACCAGTCGTGAGAAATACAAGGATGATGAAGGAGATGTTATATTGTGAGTTGTTCTATTAATAGTATCATAATGATGTATGTCTTTGTGTTCTAAAAATAGACCAAGAGATAATGAGAGACTTGAGTTTCTTGGAGATGCTGTAATTGAGTTTTTGTGTAGGTTAGTTATTTAGTAAATGTATATGTATCTACTTTTCTCTATATCTCTTTTACTCTTTCCCTCTCTCTCTCTCTCCTCTCCTCTCTAGTATTCAGTTATATCTCATGTTTCCCTCTTTCACTGATTCTCATCTTGTTATCTTCAGAAAGGCTTTAATATGCAACCAGAACCTAGCCACTGTTGCCAAAGTATGAAAATACCCATTGACCACATCCTATTAGTTTTACTTTATGCATTTTAGAGAATACACCTTGAGAAATATTTATTAATGGATGTCAAGTGAGTATGATAATAATAATGACAATGATACATGTACATGTATTTATTTATTATTGTTTTATTTCTTGTTATTTTTAGTTTCAAAAATGCTGATATAAATCACATATATGCTAATACACTTGAAGCACTCATTGGTGCTGTATATAAAGACTCTGATATTAACACATCCAGTATTGTACTAGCTACACTTCTCTTCCCTGAAGAAGTACAGTAATGAATGATACCCTCTCTCTCTTACTATTGCTCTATTTGTGTATAGGATCTAAGAGGGATATGGCTCTCTGAGTATAAGGATCAACTACAGGTACTGTATTAATGTGACTATGTCTCATCTGATCAGTTTATAGGTGGACAGTACTGATGGGGATAGGCATATGGTTAATGAGTATCCCATTTTAAATGTAATCGTAATCAGCAGTTGCTTATTTGTTACATTATTCTCTCTTTTTCTTTAGTCTTTCAATAAACTTGAGGAATCCATTGGAGTTAGATTCACTAATATTAGATTGCTAGCCAGAGCTTTCACCCACCCATCATATGGATGTACTGATCTATTGATGTTAGTTGATTAATTATTATTAATATTTAATTAACTATTATTATATTATTATTATTAATAGTGGTGATTATCAGAGGATGGAGTTTTTAGGTGATGCTATATTGCAGTTTTTGACTTCAGACTATGTCTATGATACCTTCCCTCTTCATCACGAAGGACATTTATCAGTAAATGATACATTATACTTCATCATTATTATTATTGCTGTTGCTGTTTATAGACTTTCAGAACTGCTATTGTACACAATAAGCAATTAGCTGAAGTTTCCGTTGAGTTGGGTTTCCCCCAGCATTTATTATTAGGTAAAGATCAGACTGTTACTAATTTTAAAGTTCATGCTGATCTGATTGAGTCATTCATAACTGCACTGTATCTTGACAAAGGAATGGAGCATGTACTGATGTTTTGTAAAGTCTGTCTTTTTCCTAAACTTGCTGTTAGTCTGAGAAAGAAAGAGAGAGGGGGGAGAGAAAAGGACAGAGAGAAAGAGAGAGAAGGAAGTGGGAAGAAAATGACAGAAGATGCTTTTGCTATTTCTGTTTGTTTTTATAGAGCTCAGCAAAAGGACTAAAGTTTTTAGATTCAAAGACAAGATTACAGCATGCGGTAGTATACACATGCAAGAAAGAGAAGACTCCCATCGAGTTCCCTATATACAGGTGACTATTATCATCCATGTACATGTACTTGCACAGTCTACTTGTATAGAGTATTGAGCAAGGAGGGTTCCGTAAGCAATCCAATATTCACAGGTATGTGTATAGGACCCATTTTGTAGTAAAGCAATGCTCCTCCCACTAGTTGGTGTGTATTTTAGAGGCAGAAGGATAGCAACTGGAACAGGTGGAAGGTATAAATTTTGAATGAAAAATTTGTCATAGTATATTTATCATACATTGATATTACGTTTTGTATTATAGTTCACAGAATGCTGGGATGAATGCTGCAGAGAAAGGACTTGATTCACGTTATATTATAGTACCAAACTGCTTAAAAACTACTAGTAATTGAGTCCAAATTAACCTTTAATTGAGGGTATGCACTTCTAGAATTATCTTATGAACAATTGGCGTGGGCGTACCTCAGGTAGGCGGGGTTCGCTGTCCTTTGATTATTTTGCATGGCTTGCTATGTTCACTGTTACTGGGAAAAGGAGAGATGAGTAGGTCTAGGAGTATTGTTTTGAAGTTTTGTGGTTCACCTCTACTACTGTTGGTCCTCCTATTATTCACGTGTATTTCTACTGCTGCCTCCTCTGATGGACGTAATGAGCAACTTAATCCAGACACTGACGAGCTCCTACAAGGTAATTTATCATCATTATGGAAAGAAAATTTTCTTTTTGCATGCTAGTATCAGTGTATAGATTCCATTTGTGCAAAACTGCTCTATTTTTTCATGGCGCCATTCGCTAACTAACAAAAGACGCGCCGCATAGCGCAGCCATTGGCAGAAGCCCTACACATGCCGCTTGCCTCCTCTGTACTGATACACAAAAATATTTGTCCTTGAGGCTGGAATTGATTTTGATATTCTGCAAAAGAAAATTTTGCTAGCCAGAGTTGCAAATTACTTATTTATGTAGACAATTTTTGCAAGAAATTTTCCTGTAATGTTTTGTATACATAATTATTATTGTTGTGTCGGCTGCATGTATGATTATTTACTGTTGCTGTCCATTCACACATTAGGTGGTGAAAGTGGTGACGAGGAAGATGAACCAGATCCCGGCCCTCCATTCATGGACCTCCTCACTAACCACAGATTCAATGCACACCATAAACTAGACGTGAGAGACAATTTCATACTCCCTGAACCTGATGAACTTCCACACACAACAACTCTTCCTCAAGACTTTGTACTATCCTTCTCCTACAAGCCTGATCCTAATACTGTCCTTAGACTATTCTCTACTGAAATTACTGTACCCCCTGCTTCAAGCAGCATCAGATCGGCTACACTCCTCCTTAGCTCTTCACTGATGATCATATATCAGACTCACTTTTACGTATTAAATAATGACATATCTACTAATGAATCCCATAATATTATTATATTTGTGAGTAATGGAAGCATGAGGCTTTGTTTTGATGGAGAAGAGTACCCAACTATTGGGCTATGGAGTGTAAGGGATATATCCTTATCTCCTGTTCATCTCAATTTCTCTACACATTTAATTGATGTTGCAGATAGAGTAAGTGTATTAGCACGTTTTGTGATGCATAGAGTGCTATTTTTTTCTAGGGCATATTGTGTGATCTTCGTGTGTATCCAGTAGTTGATAATATTTATAGTAATGATAGTGACTATTATTTTTATGATGATATATGTTCGTTTGTGGAACCAACTTGTGAAGTATGTTATTATATATTCAGTAACGTCATGGTACAAAACTTGTACTCTCTCGCTCTCTCTCTCTCTTTGTAGTTGGTAACTAGTTCTTCTGTGCAAGGTAGCAGCAGCTCAGCTAACAAGGTAGTATCATTGTCCTCCATTTAGCAGTTTAATTGTTACAATAGAATTATCAATCATGGCCTGATTCTCCTTGTACTGGCCCACCAGGTAATCCTGGACCACCAGGAGAACCTGGTACAGATGGAGCTAAAGGGCAACAGGTTAGCTTACATAGTTTTGTATACTGACCTGTTGGTAATTGTATTATTAGGGAGATGATGGTTATCCTGGCCCTAGAGGGTTACGTGGCAGAACAGTATGTATCAATGAATTAATATAATACATTATGTTCTCATTTCTCTCTTTCCTTCTCTCTCTAGGGTCCTCCTGGACGTGCTGGTCTTCCTGGTCCTCAAGGAGCTCCTGGTTTCAAGGGAGAGGCTGGTTACTGGGGAGAACCTGGACTACAGGGAGACAAAGGAGCCAGAGTATGAATGTATAAATACATATTAGTCACATTGGGAATGTTTATTAGGGTAAAGATGGTTTGCCTGGTAAACAAGGCATGCAAGGACCAATGGGATTCAGAGTAAGTTTGTTCAGTCAGTACAAACACACTATACTGCCTTTATGGATGCTATACATACGCATTCATGCATTGTACTTACTTTAAGGCCTCTCAAATAAATTTATAGTTGCTCCTTTCCCTGATATTAATAAACTATTTCAGTATCCTTTTACCATAAGGTTCTATGTATATAATTCTTATTGAACTAATTATTAGCAAACCTTTATTTGCCTGCTTGCTGACTGGCAGAAACAATACTGGCCTAATTCTTATTTGATTTTTAATGATAGTTTTTATAATTCTGCTTTAATGTGGTTCGTGATTAAAATCCACTTCCCCTCCTCTCTCTGTACCTCCCTCCCTCCCTCTCTCAGGGACCCGCTGGTCCTCCTGGCCCACCTGGTAAACAAGGCAGTAACAGCAAGGATGTAAGTTACATTAACATACATGTAGTTGTTAATATTTATTTTAATTAAAGGGGCCGCAGGGAGAAATAGGAGAGAGAGGATTCAAAGGAAAAATGGTAATGAATTATCATCATCATCATCATGATTATGACTGGTTATGCAACTGTAGGGAAAAAAAGGGGCACATGGTCCAAAAGGATACCCTGGAAACAAAGGAGTTGTTGTAAGACAAGAAGAGACCAGATATCAACTGATCATCATGGTATTGTGTTTCAGGGATTGCCTGGTAGAATAGGACCACCTGGTGAGAAAGGAGTGATGGGTTACCCTGGATACAGGGGGAAGAGAGGGCCACCTGGTCCTAAAGGACAACCAGTGAGGAGTAATATAAAACAGCTATATATAATAATGATGATGATGATGATTAGTGTTTTGGTAATATTCTATTTACTTGGTCTTTTCTTTATGTTTGGTCTGTGATTTAATTGCTTTATAATAATAATAATAATAATTGTTTTGTTTTGTTTTGTTTCACTTCTTTCCTTATAATAATAATAATAATAATAATAATAATAATAATAAATGATAGATAAAATAATAATAATATTTTTTAATGTTAATATAGGGAACTGATGGACTAAAAGGAAGGGATGGACCCCGCGGACCTCCTGTAATTAACTAGTTCGAATTACATGTGTATTAATTGTGTATATATATACCTGCAGGGTGACCCTGGTACCCCAGGGATACCAGGAGGAGAAGGAGTAGAGGGAGAGAAAGGACCTCCTGGAGCAACGGGACCTCCTGGTCCACCAGGAGACAAAGTATGTATTCACTAATAATAATAATAATAATAATAATAATAATAATAATAATAATAATTGTTGTTTTCTTTATTTAGGGTAAAGTTGGTATGAAAGGCAAACCAGGTCATAGAGGCCCTCGTGGTGCAAAGGTAATGTATCTTATAATAAATTATTATTTTTTTTGTTTTCAATTATTATTATTATTATTATTATTATTATTATTATTATTAATAATATCTAGGGATTTATTGGGTATCCAGGGGAGCGAGGTCCACCTGGTGCTAAAGTAATGATTATTAATAGTTAGTAATTGTTATTAATGGTATATTAATAGGGTGATATTGGACTGATTGGTAGAGATGGACAGAAAGGGGACCGTGGCGACATGGTAATTAATTATAATTACTAAACCATGAAAATTTTTTGCAGAGTACATGTATTTCCAAAAAATCCAAAATTTAAATTTGCAAATAATGAAATTCATGCATGACCTCAGTGCAATAACTGTTTAAACCACAAAAAGATAAATCTGCTGATAAAATTTTTTTGTACTACATGATATTTATATTGGTATGTTTTAGGGCGAAGCTGGTTCTGAAGGATACCCTGGCTATGACGGATTACCAGGAGAGGAAGTAATTTATAATACACTGTACATGTACAAGATGATTTATTTTTAGCATGGAAGTAACTTTAGGGATTAGTAGGAATCAGGCAATACAGAATCTAGTGCTATGTAAAAATTTGCCTGTACATGTACACATATATTCATAGCTGAGTTTGCCAAATATTACTCTCACCAACACCAATAGATCATATACAATGTATTTTGCAATTTTATCTCTTTCTTTCTCCCTCTTTCTTCTCTATATTAATTCAAGGGAGAGAAAGGTGATATTGGTTTACCTGGTCCACCTGGCCATCCCGGCCTAAGAGTTAGTAAATAAAAACTTATAGCATTATCATTATTATTTTTTTAGGGTTTACAAGGGGATAGGGGACCTCCTGGAAAAGATGGTACTCCAGGAACACCAGTAAGAGAGAAGGGAGAGTGTGATCATGTTAATAATTCTCCATTAATTATTATTATTAGGGTGAAGTGGGTTCCTCTGGTCTGCCAGGTCATTCTGGTGAAACTGGACCCAAGGCAAGTAAGTATGACACATTTATGTTCTTGTTGTTGTTGTTGTTAAGTTTGTTTGTTTATTTATTGTTTATTATTGTTATTATAGGGATACAAAGGTTTTGCTGGATATGCTGGAGCACAAGGAAAAATTGTAATAGAAATAAATGAACCTTGATGATGCTACTCTGTTCTTTGTTCCTCATCTCCCCTCTCTTTCTCTCCCTCTTTCTCTACTCCATCTTTCCCCACTCTCTCTCTCTCTCAGGGTTCAAAAGGTCAACCTGGTTTACGAGGACCTCCAGGACTCCCTGGAGATACAGTAATACTATAAACTAGGTGGTACATGTCTACATGTACACTGTATGTGTATTGTGTGTAGGGACTAATGGGTGTATCAGGGAAAGTTGGTCCTAAAGGATATAAAGGAAGTAAAGGACTTCAAGGATTGGTTGGAATCCCTGGACCTAGGGGAGAAAAAGTAATTGTATTAATTTTTAAAAATTTATTTATGTATTTATTTATTTATTTATTTGTTGTGTTTAATAGGGAGACCCCGGACCACTTGGTGATCCTGGGCATCCTGGGTTGAAAGGCCCTCAGGTAAGACGACCAATCAGATTCACTCAAATTTATTTAAATATTAAAAGGGTGTTGATGGTAATAATGGAAAAGACGGGAAAGTCGGTCCACTTGGTGACAAAGTATGAATTATTCATTGTTTATTGTTGTTTATTGTTTGTTGTTTATTGTTTGTTGTTTATTGTTTGTTGTTTTAGGGTGTGAAAGGAGTGTCTGGGCTTAAAGGCCCACAAGGAGATAAAGGAGAAATGGTAAACTCTCATTATTAAATGTATCAATTATTTATTATTTACTATTTATTATTAATTATTTATCACTATTAAGGGTTTGATTGGATTGCAAGGTGCTCCTGGAGTAAAGGGAGCTAATGGTAATACTGGACCAGCTGGTAGGATTGGACTACCTGGTATCCCTGGATTAAAAGTACAATTGATCAACATTAATTTATTATTGCTTAAATATCTTAATATATTATTGATAGGGTCCTAAAGGTAATTCTGGTGCTAGAGGAGCTCCTGGCAATAAAGGACCAACTGGAAGGAGAGGAGAGCAGGGGCCCCCTGGGGACCAGGGACCTCCTGTAATTTATTTTTATTGCGTGAACTATTTATTGAAATGTTTTATTATTTATATCCAGGGTCCAAGAGGAAAGAAAGGCAAAATAGGTCCTGGTGGTCCACCTGGAACACCAGTGAGTAAAACATGTACATAGACAACATGTACTTGTACCCTCTTCTTTTTCATTCTCTCTCTCTCTCTCTCTCTCTCTCTCTCTCTCTCAATCACTTACTTTATGACAGGGTAAGAAAGGCAGTGCTGGTCATGATGGCTTCCCTGGAGCTAAAGGCAAGAAGGTATCAGTGTTTAATATAATATCAACTATATATATTGTTTATTTGTTAATTGAAGGGTAGTAGAGGTGGTAAAGGTGATACAGGACAGAGAGGAAGAGAAGGTTTTGTGGGACCCAAAGGATCACCAGGACCACCTGGAGATAAAGGAGACATTGGAGATATAGTGAGGAGAATTGGAATGAGACAGATTGAATTGATGTACATGTACATGTATTTGTACACAATGTATTCTTTTTAGGGTCCTCCTGGTATAAAAGGTGGAGAGGGCATTACTGGTTTAAGAGGAAGGATTGGACAAACTGGTGATACTGGTTTAGCTGGTCCACGTGGGGAAACTGGAATTAATGTAAGTGACAGTACATGATAAATTGATATTATTGTATGGTAATAGGGTACTAAAGGTGAGAGGGGAGAGAGAGGAGCTAAAGGAGATAAAGGAAGGAAAGGAGTAAGGGGCATTGAAGGATTGAAAGGATGGAATGGCTACCCTGGAAATAAAGTGAGTTTAATAAATATATAAGGTCCTCTAAAAAGTCTGGTAAGCATAGGAATTTGTTTTCCCGGTATAGCAAGACTGCAAAAGTCGTGGCAGCCATTTTGTTTGGGGGTGAATCCTACTTAGTAAAGCTACCGCGTTGCTAATATACACATGTACATATATGTGCATATACATGTACATTGTAGTTTAATGATTTCTCATCAATTGTAGCTATACTTGGTCATTTCTGATGCATATTGATGTCCTTATGCTATGTACAAAGTTTGAGCCAACTCCGATTAAAATTCATTGAATTATGACTAATTTTAAAAGGTAGCAAATTTTCAAAAAAAAGCAAAGGCTATATAGCCTTTGCTTTTTTTTGGAAAAAAACCATGGGCTCTGTTCCCTTTTTAACTGGGCTATAAGCCCAGTTGAAAAGGGAACAGAGCCCATGGTTTTTTTCCAAAAAATAGCTCCAAAATC